GTGCGCTGCTTTGTAGTATTTAACTATGAAGGTTCCCGGTTTGTGCGCTGCTTTGTAGTATTTAACTATGAAGGTTCCCAGTTTGTGCGCTGCTTTGTAGTATTTAACTATGAAGGTTCCCGGTTTGTGCGCTGCTTTGTAGTATTTAACTATGAAGGTTCCCAGTTTATGCGCTGCTCTTACCCAAATTCTTACCCGATTTCACAAAATCTAACTAACTTGGATTCAGGACTCATTATTACATCATTCCAGCTGTTGATTAAGTTGGTGCAAAAAGGTTATTTAAATTTACTTTTACATTAGACTCAACCATTTACGTTATAATACAATTAGTTTATTATAGTCTCGTAACTTATATATTGTGATGTTAACAGATTTCTGTGATGTATCCATCCTGCAGGAACCGCAAAAAGACGAGTATTTGTCGGATATTATAACCATTCCTAGTTTACCCCTTAAGAAAAAAATGTCCACCTTTTCGAAAGCGCTCGAGTTATAGAATTTTATCTTTTCATATTACAGAACATCGTATTTTTTTCCCAATCCCCACAAAAGAAAGAGACTGGACACAAGTTTGCAAATGATCACAATCTTTATTAAAACAAAGTCATGGTTCACACATGGGACATGTGCTTAAGTGTTGGTTAACACTTGGACGTGTGCTTAAGTGTTTGTTCAAACTTGGGGCATGTGCTTAAGTGTTGGTTCACACTTGGGACATGTGCTTAAGTGTTGGTTCACACTTGGACATGTGTTTAAGTGTTGAAAGAAGAGAGAGAATTTTATATTTGTTCTCTCACAAAAAATGTCTGGAAGAGCCAAGTGCATCTTTCGTGCTATAGAAGCGCCCCCTAGTGGAGAACACACGTGATGTGCTTGGTGTCTGATCCAGTCCCGTGAATAACCAAGACAAGAGAAACTTAATAGTTCCCCTTGAACTACCTTTTACATGGAGAACAAACCCTCAAATATACTGCAAATTTAAAAATATATCTAATAACTAAGGGTGAATAGAAAAATTTATGCCCGCATATCACATATATAAATAAATATTAATGTCTTAAATAAGTTGAACTTTATTTTATCTTGTTTTCGATTTATCCAAAGTTTACTTACCGCCAACAAAAATCTATCTGACATTTCCTAAACTATTAATACAATACCCATGTTTATGTGCTTGCTTATTCGGACATGAAAGTTCAGTAAGTTATCATTAGATGACGCTTCTATATATTGTGCAAATGAAAAATTTTATATAATTTTAGTATTCGATCCAAATGGGTATAGGGATTTATTTTTTTTTTATTTTTTTTGCATTGTTATTGCCTTTAGTTCTGTGAGTTTAAATATTAATAGTATATTCTAATTTTCTATTTCCTGTGTCTTGTATGCGGATTTTTCCAGCTAAGTTTTCGTTTCGACGAGAAACCAAGAAATAGTATGAAAGTAGACATCTAAATGTAATATGTGAATATCTCATAGATGCCTACTTAACATTTGAAACAAACAACTTCGAGCATGCACCTCTGGACCGAGGAATTCTCGTCAGTCCTAATATTCAAGCCTCCAATTTGACGCAATGCCTTTCACTTTGGGCCTATATGTTTTCTGCTACTCCGGGTGAACCAGTTGGAAGTCTCATGATCAAACTTCGACAACAGAACCAGAATTCTACTGCCATCTGGCGTCTGAACAATCATCAAAACTCTCGATGGTTTTACGTTCAAGTTCCATTTTCCGCTGATGTCAATACACAGGTAAAGTATCTACCAAATAAACCTACAGTCAGTTAGATGATCAATGAGTAAAAACATGCAGAACAGAAGGATATACAATAACAGTACTAAATAATTGAATTGTTTGTTCGCTTACATTTTTCAAACAAAACTTTTTAACAAGGACTGTAATTGAAATTACTTCAAAATACAAACATTAGCAAAACAGTTCCTAATAAATATATTCAAGTTATTCACGTGTTTGTGTGCGTTTAAAATGTATTATGGCTATATTTTTTAATATTTTTGTCTGGATGTTTTGTATTGTTTGCTAAAAGGGGTTTTGGTATGATGTAGTGATAATGTGTGATATCTAAAAAATTCCTGGATGTCTAGATTTGATGTAATTTTTCACATTTTACAAACATATACAATAAATATTGTATAAAAACACCAGTAATATGTTGATGAAAAAATAATCAGACAGTGAGTTAGTTAGCGAGTTAGTTGATTAGCTCAGAGCTTTACAGTTTTTGAGTTTATGCTATAGATACGATAGGAAATTTAACAAGTAAATGACTGTTCAGTTTTATTTGTTTGTTACGCCTACCACTTGGTTATTATTAATTTGTGAAACTGTATAAGTTGTGAGACATACAGTTGAAGAAATAGAACGGGTTATTTTTCATTAAGTGGACTGCACTTTGCGCTATTTCAACCAAATAACAAAGAGCTCCTACAATGATAGAAACAATTAACGCATTGGTGTCAGGAGTTGTATTATTTTAGTAAAAATAAAATAAAATCTAGTATAAACTTAAATAAAATTAAAGCAAAACCAAGAAGAAAATGATATAAACTTAAAAGATCTTGAAGACAACATCGAAGAAGCTATTGGTGATGTATAGAGATTATAATAACAACTTTGAAGAAATATCAGTTAGGTACATAATAATTGTACCACTACAATCAACATCAGTAAAAGAATAAAACTTCTGGGAAACTGATTTGTAAATGCAAGGATCAAATCAGCCACACCTATGAGGACATTTACCCGAAAATTCCAAACCCCATAATGGAAGTAAGAACCCATCTAGCCTACATTTGTTTTCAGTGCTGCTTTTCCATCTTTGAATAATTCCTTCCTTAATTACTTCTCTTATATGAGTACCTCATCAGGTTTCAGAATTTAGCAGGCCAGTTGAAAAACATCAACCAATCAAAAACCAATAGGCTATAATGGAAAGGTACCATTGGAGCCATATCAGACTCAGTCCAAAATACTTTCAAAACGAATTAATGAAATACTGAACAACAAGCTATTAATCTTGCTGCTCATTTCAAAGGACTAGCTTTAACAACCTTCAACTATCAAGAATTGGTGCTCGCCTTAATTAATGAACGGGTTTAGAGTGACACATCCAATGGAAGTTTCCAAAGCATATACTCAGGAGCAGAGTGTGGAGCAAATATGAGACCTTAAACAAACTTGTGGAAATGCTTTTCCAGTTTTCTTATCCGAATGTTCCACATGAAATGATGAATTATTTGGCACGTGATCAATTCATATATTCCATAATGAATAAGGATATGCAAAATAGGCTAAACGTACATTTTCAAAGAAAGCTCTCAAGTTGGTGATGGAAATTGAATCAGTTAAAGCTGTAAACAGACAACTAAAAGCATCATCCAAAAATTATGAATTTATCACATGAAATAGTACAGAAACATCAACCAATCTGATGAAGATCTAGGAGAACTTAAACGATTCAGAATGAAAGAAGTAAACCACATGATTAAAGGCGTTGCAACTGCATCTCAAAAGAACATATTGCTAGAAACTGCTTCCTACAGTGTCAGGAAAACTAAATTGCTATAAGTGTGCAAAACATGAACATTAGGTCCGAGGAAAGGATGAATTAGTCATGGATATCAAGGATGCAATATCCCAAGATGAGAATATTCATCTGTTCCAACAGAAATAAGAGCATTATTAAGTAAAGAAGTCCATGAATCGATAGATTTATTGATGTGAAACTTTCCAGTATGTTATTAAACATCGGTTGTGCGTGTACAACTGTTCTGATAATGAACGATGGAAATTGCATCCAGAGATGAAGAAATAAGATTGATTGATGCAAACAGCGAGTGGGCACGTAGTTCCACAAAGTAGAAAGTTGTAAGTCACCCTTACTGTAGGAAGTTTCTTTACACCATATGATTTATAGGTAATTGACATTGAGGAAAAGTGGAAATTTGCTTCATATATAAACGTGGGTGTGAGCTTCACAGTCTATGACTTGAAACTCCCCGAGCATTATACGACAATTACACCACAGTGGGTTGTACTTCAAGTAAACACAGAGATGAGTGCATATAATAATGAAGACATCGGATCTGGAAGTCAACAAAGCAGAATCATAAAGAATATGTGGAACGAACCAAAAATCTTCTGCTGTGATCATCTTTGGGAGGAAATTGATGTGAGAACAACCAGCTGCTTAGCTTGAGCAAAGACTTTGTTATGGATAAGTCAATCTGCTGGATAGACCAAGGTTCCTGTCGAAATCACTTACATAATATCAATAGGGATACAGACACCAGTGGATTTGCTGGACAGAGGGAATTGCCCTAGTGACAGTAGAAGACAAGAGGTTATCCTGTCTTTGCACCATAATATCAATAGAGATACAGACACCAGTGGATTTGTTGGACCATTTACACAGAGGGAATTGCCCTAGTGACAGTAGAAGACAAGAGGTTATCCTGTCTTTGCACCATAATATCAATAGGGATACAGACACCTAATTAATTATGAAAACAGCTACCTTTGATCAGATATTTATACCGTTGTAACTAGGAATATAGTAGAACTTTTAATGATCAGTATGCATTGATTCATCGGTCTCTGCTAGCAGTATTTTCGATTTATATCACTAAATAAACGAAGACAAAAATATAAATGCATAGATAATTTACCAGGGTAAAAGGAAATAAAATACGAACTAGCCTGAAATCTTAAGTAATTTTTTACCTTTTCCCCACAGGTGCTAATTGAAGCAATCAAAGGGAGTAACGCACGTGCAGTAATAGCGATAGATGACATCACTTTCACAACACCTCCGTCATGTTCTGGTAAATCTATCATGTACATAGTGTATCAATATTATTTATCACAACGCCTCCATCATGTTCTGGTAAATTTATTTTGTATATGGTGTATCAATATTATTTATCACAACACCTCCATCATGTTCTGGTAAATTTATTATGTACATAGTGTATCAATATTATTTATCACAACGCCTCCATCATGTTCTGGTAAATTTATTATGTATATGGTGTATCAATATTATTTATCACAACGCCTCCATCATCTTCTGGTAAATTTATTATGTATATAGTGTATCAATATTATTTATCACAACACCTCCATCATGTTCTGTACATTTATTATGTATATAGTGTATCAATATTATTTATCACAACACCTCCATCATGTTCTGGTACATTTATTATGTATATAGTGTATCAATATTATTTATCACAACACCTCCATCATGTTCTGGTACATTTATTATGTACATAGTGTATCAATACTATTTATCACAACACCTCCATCATGTTCTGGTACATTTATTATGTACATAGTGTATCAATACTATTTATCACAGCGCCTCCATCATCTTCTGGTAAATTTATTATGTACATAGTGTATCAATACTATTTATCACAACGCCTCCATCATGTTCTGGTAAATTTATTATGTATATAGTGTATCAATACTATTTCAGTTTCTACATTTTTAACCCCCCCCCCCCTCCATGTTCTAAGCATTAAGGGGTTTTTCAGGAAAACCTTATGTTAAAATAGTTTTTATTAAAACTACATCCTTTAGGCATTAAAATTAACAGGCACGCCAAAATTTTATAAACTTTATTTTCCGTCTCCCTCCCCCACCTCTCTCTTTCTCCCAGATTTTCGTGTATATATATATTGTTATCAAAGATTTATTTAAGGCATGTTTATAGTATTGCAACATTTGAAAGGAAGAAAAAAAGACAATTTGTACATTTCACAAATATATCATTTATTAGAACAATGGTTTCGCCTGTAAAAGGTGTCACCAGTTTCTGGCGAAATAATGGTCGTAATGAGTGAAATATTTGTGAAACGTACAATTGTTTGTTTAGCTCAATTCTGTAATTATATAGCTTTACCAAGTACTGACGATTCCAAATACTAATTGTATTAAGTAATTGTGATAACATTTAATAGGGTTAGCTAAGAATATGACCTTATAAAAATATCCAGTGTGTGTCACGTCAGGCTTTATTTCTCGAAATGGGAGGAGTCATAATAGCCAAAATGCATTTATCCAGATAGAATAGTGCGATTACTGCCTACCCATTACTATTTTAGTGACGGGCGTGCAAGGGTGCCGTGAAACCTTATAAATTTAGTGAGTGTTGGTATAATAAGCCTAAAGTAAAGGCCTAGTGTGGGATCACCTAGCCTAGAGCCAAGTGCATAAAATTTATCAAGAAAGTATAAATATCGATTCAATTTTAAACTTAAGTCGTTTCTTGTTCGTTTTGAATTTATGCACAAAGCTACACAATGGGCTATCTGTGCTCTGCCCACCACGGGTATGGAAACCCGGTTTCTAGTGTTGTAAATCCGCAGACATACCGCTGTTCCACTGGGGGGCAAATCGTTTCTGAATTAGGCTATTTTCTGTAAAATCACCAATGTTTTTAATAAAAAAACAAACTTCTTTAATTAATGGAGACTCTAAATTAAGAAATCAACAAAATAAATTTCCAGGTTTATTGTTTATACATTTTATTTTATACTTTGAGTACATAGACTAGCAACAATATAAGGTTGTACTTTTGTTGCTAAGCAACATGACATAAAAGCCATTGTTGGAACGTAGTATTACCAAAACGCACTGGCTTTTCTATGCGTTAAAAGTTGTTAATCTAACTGATTTTTATTAATTATTATTCTATGTATACGCCACAAATTCATTTCATGAATGATCTTAATTTTAATTGGCTCACAAAGGAATTTACTGACGTTTGACTGCTTCAACTGCACTTTTCTTCCTGTTTGTTGGTCAAGCTTGATTTCGAAGAATTTATTTCATTCAGTTAGCTATGAAATGTGAGGTTAGGGTATACTATGGGGTGGGGGTGGTAGAACTTGCCCCGTCATTTTTGATGGGCTATGCGCTCATCTGAAAATAATAGTAGGTGATATCACATTTAATTACCATGTTATACAGCACAAAAAACAACAACTTCACTATCCAACTAAGACAGGTGGCGTCACAACATGTACTTACCATGTCATACTATATTGTTACGTTTCTGTTCGTTAGTTAATTTTCCGTAACTTCGTTCCGACGAAACTTTAGCGACACAAGTCATTTCTTAAATAAAACTGGTTTATTCTTTCTAAATATAACTTTGCGATACACTTAATTTGAACAGTCGCGCTATAATTCTCAACGAACTTCTCACGTGCTTAACAATATTCTCTCTGACTGCAGTTCAATTACTCATTACACTCTTCCCGTCACGTTGTGAACGTCTTATATATACAAGACTAACACGTATCTAGTAAATGCTAGGGCATTCTTGAAGGAACAGGATATTTCTAGAAAGGGGTGGCGTGATACTAGTCACGTGACCTCGCTGACGTAACAATATAAACAAAACCTTTAGTATCCAACTAAGGCAATGTGATGTCAAGACAAACACTTTCCATGATATGCTGCACAAACACAAATTTTACTATCCTTCTAAAGCAGGTAACGTCAAGACAAACACTTCCCATGATATGCTGCACAAACAAAAACTTTACTATCCATCTAAAGAAGGTGGTGTGAAG